ACGGTAAGGTCCAGTCTCTTGGTGACGGCACCCGAGCACATACCGTGATCCGCCGTGGATGTTTACGAAGCCTCTATCGCGTCTGTTGGCTGCTGCGAATGAACGGTGATAACCTACGGCAACCACTCGTACGCAGAGCGAAGAAGATGAACTTATGAGAGGTTATTACTGAATGGCGGCCGCTCTCGCTTTGGCGCTTCTTAAGAATGAAGCCAAACCAGATCTCAAGCGTTTTTTGTTTACTTTGGCTGGATTCGAATGCCGTGAGGGGTGTAGAGAGTAACGAATGACGGGGAAACGAGCAGCAAAAAGATGTGCTGCCCCACTCCTGAGAACCGAAGGAGGATGAATGTTTGTGGCTGGATAATTTCGCAGGTACTACTGGAAATCCACTCAGTGGCGATTCTGTTGTTCCTATCCACTCACACCATGAATTGTTTATTTTATATCTTTGCTATCTCACTAATTCGTGTTATTCTTTTTGTTGCACAATGACTCTTCTCATTCAGTTGTTCAATGCACAGTAGGTCGAGGTGATGGGTGTGCATCCAGGGGCTGATTTTTGATTCACATTAAGTCATTTTCAGGTTATAAATGATCCCACATATTTGGTCCATGATCTATAGTTTTATGCCAGTGTTCAGACGACTTTTCTCACATAATTAGAGAGCACTGTTGATCCAGTCGACCGAGCGAGGCCCTCCTGACACGAGGTTCAGTTTCATGGATTCTCTGTATACGCAACAGTAACAGACAAAAGTGTGGACGCTAAAACCGATGGATGTATCTACCACAGAATCGGATGAGAGCAACCGCAGTCAATAGAAATACTGTCTTAATTTTTTGATGGTGCTTTAAACGCCTACGCAGAAGACAAAGGCGGAAGGATATAGTGAGAACCTTACTACCACAGGGCTTCACATTTCACTGTATTCAACGAATTACATCACAGAGGTCTTTCGATAATTTGATGAATTTCAGTCAATCAGTTTCGGTGGTCACCATTTTTCAGCAAGGATTGCATCTAATGCTCTGCAGAACAACTTATCACGAAGCGTACAACTTGTCGTTTTTCGTGATTCGTGAGTTTGTTGCGAAAGCATGCTGAGATTCATCTAGTAATTCTCCAGTAAACCGAAGTCGACACATGTTGTAATCAGCTTTATGGGCAGGTTTCCCTTCTGACCGTCTTATGCAGACAACCGGCGGTCCGCTGTTGCGCTTTGACTACACATGTATGCCCCCAAAATCTATCGACCGTGCGTTCTGGTACGGAAATGGACTGTGCTCACACGGCCTTCAGACACTGTCACATTTAACACTGTATATGAGATTGCTTCAATTCCTAAGTCAAAGGTATCCACTGAAAAACTCGATGATACGTGCGCCAGGTTGTTTTTTCCTTACCCGCCCTCAGTGAAAGTGCCCGCATTCACCCTCACCCTCCAGTCAATTATTTGAGCTACTCAATGCGTCCCTCTCCATGAACTTTGGTGACAACTCAAGTTGTAGGGAGGAATCCTAGAACTACACTCTTAGGTGTCTTCACCTCGGAGCACTCCATCAGACCATTTGAAGTGAAGCCGACCGCGCGAGCCTCATTGACGTTGGTTAGCTGCCATTTATTGCGATGTCTCCAGCCAAGGGCAAAACCCGATACTGAGAGGCCGACCTCATCAACAACAGAAACTCGTCGTGATCTCTTCCATACTTTTCTGCCAAGTCATGGGTTGTCCACGTGTTTCGCACCATTCTGAAGAAGGCATGGAGAACATCACTTGTCTCGGTAGACAATGTTTCGGTATGCGTAGCACATGGCCGAGCAGTCACAGTTAATGTTGCTGAATGTTTCCAACAAAATACCCGTTTGCTAATTACATTGTTACGAATTCGCTGACGACATCCAGTACCATCAACACTTACTGAGACATCGGTGGTCAAAATCGAGGAGACGTTTCCCATCATCTGTCCGTAGAAGTCATGTATCGCAACCATAAAACAACGCACCCCGCACTATAGCCCTGTACACTCAATCATTGAGATCCAGTGATATACCTTTTTGCGTCACAAGTGATGCAGACTATCAAATGCGGTTCTCACCTTTGAGATTCTAGCACTGATTTGATCAGGCACACTTACGTCGGTGTGCCGCACGCTTCATTCCTGTTTGCCCGTCGTCGCCACACAGTTCCCTCATCCTTTAACAGCGCGTGGTTTGAGTCGGCTTTTGTGGTAAAATCAAATTCTGAATCTATGCTCAAACGTACACGCCTCCGTCCTTATGTACGTCTACTGGTGGTGTTGAGCTGACTGTCTCTTCGGTATTCAGAGTTTACAATCTAATCCTGCACGTGTGCTTAATGTGTGTTCCGAGTTGTGTCGCCCAACACCAATAGCCTCGGTGCACACTACTTTCACACCAACTTATCCGTTGTACGGTGTTTTCCCGAATACCGGCGACAATCACACTGCTTCCGTGGAACACACTGTGAGCCATACTTTTGTACCATCTTATCCAGAAGGGCACCATGAGAATGAATGCAGTAAGGAGTCCCACTAATTTATGGGAACGAAATTGGGCCACGTCACCGTTTCTGGAAAGCAACGGAAACAAACTAGCATGATTGGTTTGTTCGCTGAGCTGGATTGCAAGCGTTTTCATTGCTAATCGAGAGTGAATCGTCAGCGCGCCGACGAGACCTGTATTCATATAGTTTTTCAGGTAGCTGTGCTATATTGGTCAGTTGAACCTGCCGTTGCTTCCATCCAATTAGATAATGTGAGCCGGGCTGTGTTGTGATTGGCAGTCTGACACTTTAGTCGACCAATAGGAACGCAAGTCGGTTGGGGTCAACAGAACGCCGATCAAGCACTGAAAGCTCAAAATTGACTCATCAGACGATAACATAAATTTATTCGACTTCAACAAAACTCCTTAAAAGGTTGACGCGTGATTCGAGAGGAAGGCAATGCAAAATTTACGGAAGGTTTAACCTCGCTTGACGACGAAATGTTTGTTACCCAAAGGCCGAAATCGGCGACCAATCCAGTAACCAAGCAGCACATCTGAGCTGCCCATATTTCGTAACGTTTCCAACGATCCATCGTCTCTGGCCGTACATTTTTGACCCAAAGCACATGGGCAGTGCGGAGTGTTGTTAACGTGTACTTTTGATGGGATGGTTGTGATTTATATAGCTTAAGGTTCTTCGCTTTCGCGGGATGTTCGAGTTCCTGGGTGATTCACACACTCTGTCCCGTCGTCAAACTCGCCAGGACGTATTCTGAAACACGTTGAAACCTGTTTTGTAATTCCACACTGACACTGTGACAAGTAATTGCATTTCTTATCAATATCTTCCGCCGCGTGGGATATGTTTGTATGTGTAGGTGCCGTAATCTGCTCGAACTACTCTAGTGATGCAAATTAGTTGAAGCAAAAGGTGCAACCAATGGGGCCGAATTACGGGTTGTGGCCATGAAACATGTGTGCAACGGGCAATGTTTTAGCAAGTAAGATGGCCTTGATCATGTTTAGGACGCTTATATGTATGCGTAAGCGTCGACCCCGTGAGTTGGATGGCTCTCGTCGCTAATGTTTGCTCACATTCCCTCAGAAGCCTTATTGGTTTGGCGTTTTTAATGGACGACCTTTATTGTCACCCTAGCTGACTAGTCTGAGCCCCAAGGTTTTATTACGGAATGGTGTATGTACAAACGGTTGTACCCGGGTTGTCCTTTGGAAGTACCCATCATGGAAAGCCACTTGTTTCTTCCAATGCAAATAAACTTGAAACAGCCATGTTGCTCTACCCTTTGAAACTTATTCTTTCCGGAAAAACTGTTGATTTCTGGACAACGCTGTGTCTAGTCGTAGGTATCCTGTCTTCCTATGAATGGGAATCTCATCGACCCAATTGGTTGCCTTCCTGCAACCATCAGTTTCATATGGTGATAAGTGATTTTTCGACAATTAGAAATGGTGTTCACAGCCCAGTCTGTAATGTTCGCTTGGTTGTAGTGACACGCTTTTCCTATGCAAACTATGTAAAACATGTATTTCACTTTTACCTTGCCTAGGGATTCTCAATGCGCGGCATGGGCGGTGGTGGCGGACCAATGCGCAGACGAAATCAAGACCCTCCAATACATCACGATCTTTCCGTTTCTCTGCTAGATGTCCTCAATGGGACTGTGAAAAAAATGCGCATTACACGAAGACGTCTCAACCCAGACCGAAGAACCACTCGCGAGGAGGAGAAAGTTCTCGAAATTGAGGTAAAGAAGGGCTGGAAAGCTGGGACGCGCATCACATTTCCTCGTGAAGGCGATGAAACCCCCGGTGGCAATATTCCAGCTGATGTTGTTTTCACCGTCAAAGATCGAACGCACAAACATTTCAAACGGGAGGGCGCAGATGTCCGGTATATCGCGAAAATTAGTCTCAAGAAGGCGCTTTGTGGTGGAGTTATTTCAATCCCAACGATCGAAGAGGGTCAGGTCAACTTGGCCCTCAAGGACGTCGTACAGCATGGTTCGATTAGACGAATAAGTGGTCAAGGTCTACCCTACCCCAAGGAGCCAAATAGGCGTGGCGATATAATCGTGGAGTTTCATGTTATATTCCCCACCCGCTTGACTGATTCACAGAAATCCCAACTGGCATCCATTCTACCTGACTAGGCTTGAAGCACCACAGCAATGCCCCCTAAAACTTCATCTTGATATCCATGCAACTTCTACACAGTTATGTGACGTTAGCATGGTTCTCTTTTACATTAAAGCTTCATGAGCACCGATACTGCCATCTATTATTATTTGGGGGTGGAAGAGTGACCAAGGTACGTGATTTTCAAGGCTGGGGCTGCAACCACAGCGGCAAGATGGCCCAAGTGGTTAGAGCGCGAATTTACTGACCGGAACGTCCGTGGTTCGAACCCGACCTCTACCTCTCGACTTCCCCTGTCTAGGCTTGGGCAACCTGTCAGTATCCCAGCCCTCGTGTTTCCTTCTTGTGGCATGACAGTTAGGCACCGAAAGGTGAATGATTTTTTTCTGTAACCACTGGTTGACTGCTTCCTCGAGTAACGACGTGGCCACGTGATTGAGGGATGAGTGGCGCTATATCCTGTCTAAGTGCGGGCTAATCAAGCTGCTGATCAGTCGCTCGTGGCCGACCGATTCAGTGTTCAGACTACTAACCGAGCGGTCGGAGGCTCGAAACTCTCCGGAGCTCCGATTCCCAGTAGGGGTGAAACAACTGTACAATGCTTCTAGGCTTTTCAGCATAAATTGGCTTCACTTAACAGACAAAATCCGCACTATCAACACTGAACGGTTGGTTTGCTAACCACGATCCTAAAAAAATAATAGTGACTCGGTTTGCATAGCAGCCCTTCATCCTATGTATCGTCAATGAACTTGTGGCACCCGGTATAACAAGTGCCAAGTTCCTTTTGTCAATAACTTGGTCAGCAGCAATTTTTGTATGCTAATCGAAACACGCGGTATTCAACCGCTCGCAATATCTATAACAAACGGATGAAATGTGGAAAGTCGCTGAGCCTTTCACCCTTGTGGTGACAATAATCGTTCAGATAACCAATCGCTCAGACTTTGTTGCGTTTTTCGTTTTGAGCCTCACTTTCGGTACGTGCGATAGTGTGCATTCGTCTAACCAGCGTTTTTGTGAATTAACCTGATTTCTTGAGACTTTTGCATTCCAACTATAATGACCTGGGTCATCCACAATGTGCGCCAATGATTTGTGTGATAGAACGCAGAGTGTACCTTTGGTAAGTGGAGTCATTGGATGAACAAACCGAATTAGTGTGGTGTGATGATATAATACGCTGTGTCACATTGTGTTGTGAGTTTCCTGAACACGTGTGTAGTACATATCTGATTCGAAAAGCTCCAGGCGATTGTCCACTATGACTGGCTTCTGAGAACTTACCCATTTGTAGCGTAGGCATCAACAGCCATGATTCTGTCTTGCGTTAATTTTCGTATACCTAAAAGTACTGTAAATTTGGCCGTGTTCCCGGTGAGAGGCAGGCGCGCACATCAGGCCTCACTGATTGCCGAATTCTATCTAAACTGGCATCGCTTCGCATCTAGGGTCAGTTCTTTAAAATCGATGGAAACATTAGTGAGCAGTGGAGGTGGGTATATCGTACGTCCTTTCCGAAAGTTGAATTGCGGGATTGTGGAAAGAAGGCAATCATTCTAATCCACTTCTTGGTAGAAGCCAGTTCTTAACCCGATTTCCTAAAACGGAAACTTCGATTTTCCACCCTATCAATCTCATCCTAGGTTGTTCAAATGGATGATGGAGTTGAGCAAACTTAACAAATTTCGCTAACGCTAGGTGACAGAAACCATGTCAACAAACATGCTGCTTCACATGTTCCATCAACCAGGCAACGGTTTTTGACCTGACCATTCATCTTACTTTTTCATATTTGAGTTCTGTTCTACATGTTGAGACTCGCGAGCACGCAGTTGAGATGTCAGAGCTTCCCTAGATAGAGCCATGACGACCGGGTTAGTAATACTGTGACCACAGGACTTAGTGGACGTTCTTTCCGTGATCTCTGCTTCGATGAAGCCATGGTGTCCTGGAAAAAATCGTTCAGCCGTAACACCCTTCCAGTGCCTAGCTGCCATGCCACCCAAAGAAAGCACGAGGGCTGGGATACTGTCAGGTTGCCCAGACCAAGACAGGGAAGTCGAGAGGCAGAAGTCCAGTCCGAACCACGGACCCTCCGGTCAGTAAGTTCTCGCTCTAACCACTTGAGCCATCTCACCCGCTACAACCTGAGAAGGACAGAAATTTTAATTATGTCATGATGACTAGTTTCTTCGCTATAGGAATCACCCTTCTTGGACGCAGCGTCAGTTTATGGAGTATTCCTTGTGATGCCAGCCATGCGGATGTATTCGGTAACACCATGCGCCCTTGGGTCGAGCATGATGTTCCATGGGTGTCGAAGCGTGAGAGCTTCCGTAAGTCAATGAAGTGTGACACTCTGGTTTCAGCTCAAGGGGCTCTTGTGATGGAAAAAAGAGTGCAGGGAGGTTCCAGTAGCTGTAAAACTATTTGACACTGGACCAGATGCAAACATGACTTCGGCGTTTTCTCTGGCAATTACTTTTGTTATTCCTGTCTCAGGGTTGCGTTTGCCTCGAGGGATTTAAAATCGGACCACTTCGCTGACCTTCGTGATCCATTGTATTTTGGAAAGTTGGGGCATATGTGTTGGTTGCTACCCCTCTCAAGGAGACCACTCCTGGAAAGTTTTTTCAGGGAGCCTATCATATGCGAACGTGTGCTTGAAAGTTTTAAGCAACTCAGATAATCAGAATGGAAGGCAGGGCAGTTAAGATAAAACACGAAAGACAACCGGGAGCTGATGACTACGAAAAAGGTAGGTTTGAGGTGGGATATATTTTAGTGGAACATTTAGCCATCGTCAAATCGGTTGCGTGGTGGAGCATGTTAAGATTTCAATGTATTCAAGCCAATTTGATAGTGCTCGACGGAGAAATAATAACTTAGGCCTTCGTACCGGTCGATTGGTACAGTCAGTGTTCCGCCATATCCGTTTTCTATTTGTTGATGCTCTGTAGAAACGTTCAGGACGTTACCTGGAGAAGAGTCGTCCAGGAATCGAGCGGAATCGTTCAGCTGTAACATCCTTCCGGTGCCTAGCTGCCGTGCCACCCGAAGGAAGCACGAGGGCTGGGATAGTGCCAGGTTGCTCAAGCCTAGACAGGGGAAGTCGAGAGGCAGAGGTCGGGTTCGAACCACGGACCTTCTGGTCAGCGAATTTGCGCTCTAAACGTGTGAGCCATCTCGCCTCCACGTCTGCATGCAACAGTCACTGATGTTACGTAGACACCAAGATGCGAGAAAGAGACATTCATCGTTCATCTCCGAGAGGCAAACTAGACGCCAAATAAAGTTTGGGTCTAAACATTATAACAGCCTGTACTCTCGACTCGGGTGGCTCACGGAAGAGGTCTTACCTTCAAGAAAGGTCCGTGAGCTTAGGATGAACGGCACAGTTGAAGAAATACGGCCCCTTAAGTTCCGAATTTCAACAGAAGAAAGTGAACCTTGTTCCTGTTTTTGAAACAAATTGGCATATGCTAGTCATCCACTCCCATAGGCTTTGTTGTACCCTATTGCTTCTCATAAAATGTCAAGCAATTTCTACATATTCTCCGTGCACATATCAGAAGTTAGTCCATTCTGAAGCTTTTCCACGTTCGACCACACGGGTCCTTCGCCTTCTACGGGTGTCGGGAAAAACATCATTCCATCAGTCTCATATTATTTGCTTGTGAGGTCATCCACTGTGGCGTCGAATTTTCAATCACTTTATGTTTTATGGTCAAATCATACACACGAATCATATACCCGAAAAAATCACAAATACAGGGTGTCTTATAATCGACGCAAAAAATAATACCCATGTTAAAACTTCAGCTCCAATTCAAACATTTACCATTTCTCATGTGGACATACATGCATCGTGGAGGTTTACTGTAAACAAACTGGCATTACAAAAAATGTAACAAGCTGGAGGCGGTATGAGATGTGTGACACAGGATGTTAGACTTCTTCAAACGTCACTCGTGCATACTCTTCTTCAATTCTTGCTCCTAACTCCACGACATTCTTCGGTTTATTTTCACGACATATGCGAGCTTTGATCATTCCCCAAAACCAATAATTCAGAGATGTGAGATCGGGTGACGTTGCCGGCCAAAAGTTTGGAAATCCACGGGCAATGACTCTCTCATCATAAAATTGCCCTCAGAAGTAAGTTCTCACTTGGTTTGAGTAGCTGGGTGGAGCGCCATCCTGTTGAAAGACGTTTGATAACTTCTTGTGCTGCTTGACTTGCGGGATAACATGCGTCTGTCCACACACGGAGATGAGGGGAATGGAGATTATGGGTGAGTACTCGTGAGGAGCTTCATGGGACTATATCGCGCAATTGTGCTTGTTGATTATGTCATCCACAGAAAAATTTGCTTCATCGCTCCATAAAATGTTGGGAACGATTTCTTCATTGTCCAGCAGCCAGTTAGCGAACGTGACATGGTGCTCCTTGTCTTCTTCCGTGATGTTTTGTAATAAAGTGAAATGATACGGGTGGAGATGATGGTGGCGTCTCATAATACGATGCACTTTGGCGCGGGGAATGCCGGTCAACTGAGACGCCTCAGCTATTGACGAAGATGCCATGGTGCTCTGGGACTGAAGTTGCTCGACGGCATTCTGTACAATGGGTGCTCTTTCATCACTCAGAGACTTTCTCCCTATGCCAGGAAAATCCAATACGGATCCAGTGGACTCAAATTTCGCAATCAAGCGTGTAATGGTCGACACGGTGAAAGGATCTTTGATGAGACCATGTTTGGTTTTGTAACCATGAAGTGCAGTGGTGGCGCTTTCACCAAGGGGCTAATGGAGTTTCACAATTTCAATGCGCCTACTGACATCCATTGTAGACAGAAAAATATGCAAACAGTTGCACACAAAACCTCCTCTATGTGGCTACTAACAATGGAAGACTTCCTCATCCTTCCTCTGATTGCCTACGTTTACTCACCCAATTAAATTTTGCGTCTATTATGAGACACCCTGTACATGGTTGTACATGGGCTGAGATATTTCTAGGACGCCCTTTTAGGGTCCGCAACCAATGCCCTTGGCTTAAAAGCCTGACCACAAGACAGCCATGTTCGGCGAGGAATTCAAGTGCATTGCCATCTTTATAAAATGCCGTCACAAATGATCCCGCCCCAATCTGGAGGGCCAGGAGACTGTGTTAAACAGACCCTTAACCATTGACCAAACTGGTATGAGAGACTGAGTGTCTCACGGACATCAACCAGTATAGCTCAATGGGTCACGACCGCACACAAACCGTCACACTACGCTATGGTCCAGTCTCTTCGTGAGTCTCCTCCCGGATAGCTAACACCAAACATTGTGGTTGGATTGTGTGGTATATCCGGACGGGGAAAAACTGTGCGCTAACTTGCGAACAGTCATCTGAGCGATATATCTCCTAAAATTACCAACGCAAGCAACCACTTATGACCTTGGAAGTCCTGTGCGCAGGTTAATTGATCAAACGAACATTGTTCACATGCTTCATCGGAATGCAAGAGCACTGATCAGCAAATCATTTGTTTGTACAGTCCAGAATATCAGTAGGGATTGCGCAAAGTGTTTCTGAACACACACACACACACACACATCCGGCGTGTAAGGGGAGAACAACGCCTTCATCGTGCAGAGTATTCTAGATCAAACTGTGTATGGCAGTTTTGTGTGGGCTACGGTCATCGCTGTGTTGTTATTCATTCACTGTCCAGTGTCAAGAGTGATCTGATATTTCGTATAATCTCTGTAGTCAACGAAGACGGAATGTGCTCCGATACCCGCTTGGACAACATCCTCGTCGTTCTGCTCATGTAGCTTGCCCCACAGCAACAATACTATTGGTATACAGCTATGAACAGGCGAGGAGTGAAAATGGAGCACTGTTGATGGACTGGAATTTGACTATTTGAACGAAAGATACTCGAAATGGTCTAGGATATTGTGTCTGACCCGACATTCTTGTGAATATACTGGCCACATCACATTTCGTGGCCTCCACAGTGCTGATCCATTTTGTCAGCATGGGTATTTTTTAGACGCTAATAAGTTGAGTCCTTTATCGGTGGTACACAGACAAACGTTCTCTTCACGTTGTTCGGCAGTTTGGATGATGTCCGCACACTCAATACTGATGAAAACACACTCGACCTTGTAATCGGTGGGCAAGGAAGGGAGGCGAGATGGCTCAGTTGTTGGAGTGCGAATTTACTATCCGGAAAGTCCGTTGTTCGGATCGGACCTCTACCTCTCGACTTCCCCTGTCTAGGCTTGGACAACCTGGCAGTATCCCAGCCCTTGTGCTTTCTTCTGGTGGCGTGACAGTTAAGCACCGAAAGGATGCCACAGCTGAACGATTTAGGCAACGAAGAGATACCGTTATACAGTTGTGGTGTGCTCACAAAGGTGTTTTCCATCAGGTTATCCGGAGGAAATCAATCCTGACCACTTAATCAGAGCAGATAAGCCGCTATCGTTAATCCTCTGCAAAGTGCGTTTGGTCGAGTGAGACCAAACAGTGAAGAAGATCCATGGCACTCCAGTTACGGGTTGCACTACAGTGCTACAAAACAAGCACCAAGAAAAGTTGATTTGATACAAGCGGAAAAAGATATTCAAGCCAGAAGTTAGGTTGGTGATATATACTGAAGACGATTGAACTTGCCAACTGGGGCCTATATGTGCCAGCTGGTTCACTTTGAAGACCCAGTTCAGGAAGTTTAACCGATCCGGAAGCACTGGTCAATTATCCGTTTAGGGTGAACAATCGTTCTCTCGTTATCAGTAACCCCCAAAAAAGAATGTGTTACGGAGAAATTAACTCGATTTGCACCAGCAAAACTCCTGAATTGGAAAGTAATTTAGGACGCTACAGCCCGTGATCACTAAGACGAGGTAATCATCTGCAATGGATTAGAATAAACTTCAAGGGCGGCTGAACACAAAACTACGTCAGTTTCAAGGCCAACGGAACACCCCGAGGCATTGGTTCCTGCGCGCGCTAGCGATTCGTTAAAATCGTAAGACCATTCATGTTTTCCAGTAGAACAAAATACAAACAATTTCTGATCAGTAGAGAAACCCGGTGTTTATGTGGAATCGTCCTTTAAATGACTGAATTGAAATCAACAAATAGTGGAAAATTGGCGCAACTCGAGGATAACAACCCTTCAGGTTGCGTGTCTGAGGGAGCTATCTGAGTGATTTAGGAGCTTGATGCAATTTATTCTGTCACGTTGATAGTCTAGTTACTTGAGTGGGGAAGCCTCAAGGAAGAAGACAAAGGACAATAGATGATGATGCGCTATATTGCAGCCGAACCAATGGAAGAAAGAGCGCTGTGGCTCATTTGGTTACAACAGAAAGAAAATGAAATCTCAGTGAACTCTTACAGAGGGTAGGATTGTTCGTTGGGATCTGACCGTCCTAACAAGATGGTCGTTGGTTTGTTCGCTGAGCTGGGCAATTGCATTGCATTGCCCAACTCAGTGAACGAATCAACGAACATCTTTGATAGCCGGTCAGTTCAGCCTAAACACACCATGAGTCGCTACATGGTAATTTTGCTGGACATATGGATGTCCTAACTCCCTAGAACAGCGGAGAAAAATGTACCTTTGACAACCGATTCAATAAACCATGATGAAACCTCCTACCGTAGAGATTCGATACCACAAACTTGCTTGGAAGTACACTAAAGGCCCGATTTCCGAATGTGAACGTTTGAGAAATTAACTGCCATACGGAAACATTCATTAGGGATTTTTCCTTTTAATATACTGGACATAGAACGGAATACCGTTATCATGCAGAGTGAATTAGTGGAAGATGGACAAGTCTATCTGTCATCAGTTGACCTTCGTCAGTGTTGTGCCCTGTGTTTGCAAATGAGTGTAGTTCGCAAATTTCGTGCAATTTAGTTTCAGGTAGAACGTAAGGTTGATGGAAACTCGGGGACTGCACCTACCTGGTGAGCCCCAAGAAGGGCGAAACCGGTCGTCGTGGGCTGTCGAAGAATTTTCAGCAACCTCATGAGTAGTGCAATACGAATATACGTGTATCGCGATATTTCGAATATCGTAACAACTGACACATGAGGCGGCCTGGTGCAGCACATTCAGTTGCCTGGAGATATCACAAAGGAGGAATTCAGCTGGGTTCCAGGCGAGTCTCGCAGAACTTAATTTGTTTGCAAACGAGTGTATTCCGCTAATTCACATTCAATTGTAGGTGGTTGGCCGTTCGCTGTTGCGCAAGCGGGTGTGGTCACTGACTGATGCACCGCGTTGATTGGCCCCACTCGTGATTCACTGTCGGAACAAACATCAATACCTGCCGTGTTTACGTGCTTTTGACCTTGCTGTGATCAGCTGATAAATGGCAGTTGTGTTATTTTCTATGCACAAGAAGTCGTTGCTCAAGGGGGCAGTCAACACGTGTGACCGCTTGATGTGGATCTCGTGATTGGAAGATGAGCGGTGCTATATCCTGTCTAAATGCGAGCTAATCACACTGCTGGTCAGCCACTCGTGGCTGAACAGTTAAGTGTTCAAACTACTAACCAGGATGTCGCGGGTTCGAGACACTCCGGAATTTCGTGAGATGCGCACTGCTGATGAATCTCAAAACGAATGAAACATCTGCACAGTGCTTCTCGGCTTTTCAGCATAGATTGGTTTCACTTATTGGACGAAATCTCACAAAAATCCCAAATCTCCTCACACTACCAACAACATAATAGACAATTTAGCCGAGAAATCAGGGTGCACACAACATGACGGATGTCGAGCACTTTCAGAGTACATTGTCGCTACTACCGATTTTTTGACAGGGTACTGCTCACTTTTCACTACCGTGGAGTGAACACAAACTTTTCGTGGACATCTTCTACCGGTCGGGCTGTATTTATTTCGTGTCGTGACCTCGCATGCACTCATGCATCGGTGTAGTTGCATTAATGACATTGCTGGCACCAAAAAGCAGTGTTTTCCCAATAAATAACTGGTAGTTCCATCCTCCCCTAACAACCAATGGTTTATTTGTGAGTATGGGATACCAAAAGCACGAAAAACACTTTGAAACTTGTGTGACCAGACTGCTGTCCTGGAAGCGCAATCTTTGGCAATACCCTTTTGTGTGCAACCCCAGGATTTGCTTAAGTTTATGGGTATTCACTCACCGACGCGTCACAAGTTGCTACTGTGAGTACTGTGAGTTATGACGAGGAGGTTTACTAAACAGACCTAACATTTATTGTCAAAAATATCACAGTGCTATCACCCAAGGTGGTAGTTGTGTACTGCAATCTTGCCTTGAAATGACGCGAATATCTGATATCACTGCCCGGCACGTCGTTCATTGCATGCGTGAGACAATACATTATTTGAGTGCTTTCAGCCACTAGGGACAATTCCTTTTTGTATTTCGTGATAAGTCAGCGAGACGGAGAGTTCCAACAAGTCCCTTCACTAGACATATTAGAAATGTGAGATAACCACCGTATTTTGGGGGTATATTTTCAACTCTATTGAAATAGACCCTTGCAATCGAGAAATACACTCATTTGCAAATCAATTCGGTTTTCATGAGAGACTGTCGAAGAGCTTTCAGCAACCTTGTGAGTAGTTTCCTCCACGAAAATATACTGCGATATCTCGAATATCGTACCAACTGAAACATGAGGCGGCCTGTGTGCAGCACATTCAGTTGTAGAATGTCATAAACTAGAGATTCAGTTGAGTCTCTTGTTAAAACCAAATTGATTTGCAAGTGAGTGTATTTCTCGAAAACAGTCCAATTTGGGTTCGAGTAGAACATAAGGTTAACGTAAAACTCGAGGACTGTGCCTACCTGACGAGCCCCAAGAAGAGCGAAACCGGTCGTGGGCTGTCGAGGAGTTTTCAGCAACCTTGTGAGTAGCTTTCTTTATGAAAATATACCCTTGGAATGTTATACATCTTCATTGTTAGTGCTTTTGGTCTACATCAGGACCAGCAATTGTTTAGAGTTTTGTGACTGTGATGTCAATTGATACGCGCTGCATTGTGATTCACTGCAACCGGATTGGGCTGCAAAGGGGGAAATATCTGGTCCCACCGGTGTAAAGGTGATACTACTGATGGGGAAGCACGCGAGTAGTATGTGTTGTTCGTGGAATTTCGCTTTGCGTCTTTTGAAAAGAGGAGATCTGTTGCGGAATTCGTGGGGTCACCTCGTAACATTTGCTTGGATTTGAGCGAGGAATGATTGGAGTCAATGAACCTCCAGGAAAGTTCAAGAAGGCGCATTCGGGAGAAGATGGGTGTCCAGTTTTTGTAAATAAGATGCAAATTAGAGTTTCGCTTCTCTGTTCAGTGGCCTGTAACCGTTCAGTTGGTATTTCCTAATAAATAACTCCGCAGCGAAAGCCTTCTTCCTTTCACCGGTACTACCGTTGTGACGGTGTTTATACATTATACCATCGACAACTGTCGATCAATTAGAATTCGAACTCGTAGTACACGCACGTCGCGCACTCCAACGCCACTGGCTAACATGCCGTTGAATGTGTGGACGTTAGGGGTACCGTGATGAGTTCATAATCCTTGAGCCGAAATGTCCCAAAAAACGCCGTCAGAAGACACGGATTCACTTGGAGTGAAGAGGGTTGCACCGCGTTCAACAGGGAAGACCGTGTAGGTCAATGATCTGACAGATGCTCCGGGACTGAGACCGAACGGACAAAATACTACTGTCTCCACTATTTTTCCAGAATACAACAGCTCATGTGTATCCAATCCAGGTTACAATATGAAAGAGAATTTTTAAGTGAGTATCGGAAAAAAACCATCTCGTGAATTTCAATCTGCGTAATTTTTGATATCCAATCGTTGCGTATTATTATCGCTTCCGTTGCTGTTCAACAGTTTTTACCGAAACTCGGGTCGTTTACGGTGGCGCGGTTTTCAGGAAAACCTATCGCGTTCAGAGTTGTCAATAAGCCATTTAAAAAACGCGTGATGTTACCCAGAAGTTTACTTCTGGGTTTTGAGGTTTATTTACTGTACTAGATAAGATGTGAACATATCAGGCCTTACTGATTTGCGATTTCCGAATCACGATGATTCTGGAACACAATCTCCTTGAATATTCCTAGAGGTACGTGAGATTGGCACTGTTGTCGATTCCCCGAAAGGACTGTGCGGTGCTTTCTGGTGTGGAGTGTCTTCAGTTGCGGAACGAACACCCGAATTTGATTTCTCTGGACGGATCCCCTGACAAATGGATTTGGCAATGGAGCTAGATCGCCGCTGATAATGAGAAAATCTTCATAAGTAGACGTATGGAAGTGTAGCAGAGTAGATATATTTCCTTCCAGAAATCTTGCACTCTTTGGAGTGCACAAGTAACTTTTATATTTGTCCAGACGTATGTCCACGATCACATGTGTGCATGCTTCACACCTTCCCTTCACTCTAGACGAGGCCACCTTTTAGAGGCATGGAGCTAGGACAGTCTCAAGCGTACAGGAGTCGAGGTTGAGTTCGAACCACGGAATTTTCTGTCGACAAGTTTGCGCACATACCGTTGAGCTACCTCGAAGTTTATGACGGCTAATTCGTGCTTCTTTATCAAGGCCAAGCCTACGCTTGGACAAAGATGGCACAACATATGACCGTCAATCCATATATATTATTCCTACCAACAATTTTTAGACAGTTTTATATTCAAACGCCTATCTTACTGTCTTCAAATGGAGCATCATCGCCGAAACTCACGAGAATCTATCTGACATGGATTTTGCACCTGTGTGCAGAACGGTTCCATTCGTATGAGACTGTGTTGACATATTTACTTTTACCGTTCGCTGTACGTACCTTGTTTGTACGTGGTTACTTTTGGTTTTGTTTATACGTTCATTTGTTGTCTGAACACAAATCTCTGTGCGCCGCGCGTACTCGGTATACGACCACGTTCACTTCATCCTTGGTTTTGATTTTTACTTTTACGTTCGCTGTACGTACCTTGTTTGTACGTGGTTACTTTTGGTTTTGTTTATACGTTCATTTGTTGTCTGAACACAAATCTCTGTGCGCCGCGCGTACTCGGTATACGACCACGTTCACTTCATCCTTGGTTTTGATTTTCGATGTAAGAGGACTGAGATTAGAAACTAGGTCACATGACCGGACCATGTATTGCTGGCTGCTTAAAGCTCCTGAGTTGGGTAGGATTTCATACTCGTCTCTGTTTCGCTAAACTTAGCTACCGTTGGAAGGAAGGAGGCCTTCGCTGTGGAGTTACTTATTGGGAAACACCAACTGAACAGTTATAAACTATTGGACAGGAGAGCAACTCTCTCATATGCATCTTGTTTGTAAAAACTGAATATTCGTCTTCTCGAATGCATCTTCCTGAACTAATCTGGATCCTCGTTGACTATCACTCAAATGTAGACGAATGCTACAAAGCAATTCCACAAATTCCGTAATAAATCTCAATAGATTCGAGGCAGATTTATGGGAAACCACATACTACTCGCATACATCATCAGTAGTATCCACCGTACCAGCGTTATCAAGCGCCCTTCTGTGTGGTGTGGACGGTGTGGATAGCCGGATTTCATCCAAGAGTACAACAGCCTAATATCCCGGACATGTGGCGCCTGGTGCGAGCTCAAAGACTGCGTTAGATGTGATTTAATCATTCTCCACACTCCAGAAAGAAGTCCACTTACTTTTTCAACCTAGCTAGTTCCGGTATGAATGGTTGTTTCTCCTACCGAATCAGGACAAGCTTTGATAGAAAGTTTTAGCTCATCCTGTATCCTTTGATGCGCGTGCTGGATCGTTACGGAACTAGTCAGCACGTTGTGACTCAAGGATCCGTAGTGAATCAGACCTGGAACACTTAATCCAATAGTGTGATGAGTGTGCATGCGAACGCCCTTCAGCTTGAGAAGGAGGGGATAATGAGGGATAGTTGCAGAGGTTTACTTCATCTCAGTACACGTCGTACGATGACCAAAACCAGGTAAAAAAACATGAATGGCTGGCGATAATGAAAGACCCACAGATCTGTGTCACCAGTCTCGAGCAAGATCCTCGGAGGGTGGACCGAATCAGCACCTAACGAGAGTTATGAGTTCTCAGTTTCATCCCTCTATGACACAAGTTAGCGATAGCTCCCTTGGTATCAGTTTGACTTGCAAAATTCGTTTATCAATAAGCGATCAATGGATCACATGATATGGGGAAAACCTAATGGAGTGTGCAGTCTGGAAAAGAGATGAGCCAGTTTGATTGGTTGACGATTGACAGTGTCTATAAGCCCTAAGCTCAAGATGGTGCGCATGGATAAGCTAGGAAAAACGGTGGGTTGTATAAAGTGCGAAGTGCATGATGTCTAGAGTAAATGTGGGGTGAAAACATTACTAGGAGTTCGTATGGAACCTCTGTTTATTTAGATATCAGTTTGGTGGTAGAAAGCTTTCAGTCGGGAGAGGCAGCTGGGACCAAACACAATGATTCTTTAGTAATATGTAATCAATTTTGTTACATCGGAAGAGTAAATCATGTTCNTCTAGACTCGCCATTTAGGCCTCTAAACTGGTATACTTTGTGAAGTTGCTATAATTAATTCAAAGTCGAATTACCGAATATTTGGTGGAATCGCGTAGGTAAATAGGGCTATAGGTTACTTGGCATGATTTCGATTGGCAAGCATGCAGTCGGTTCCTCAGAGTTCTAAATTTAGAAGGTATATATATCTGCCTTAGTGCCCAATCTGCCACATCTGCCTGCTGTCCCCGTTCTAGTGCCTTGTGCAAGAAAAAGACGGAACACAACAGCTTCATTGCGAACAAGGGTGTGTGAGTGCTCGAGTATGTGTGTGTGAGAGAGAGAAATTAAAACGGTCTTAAGCTATTTTATTGAGGGGCAATGTCTGACCTTGATCCAATGCTGTTTCGCTCTGTCTGACCGTGATACAAGGTTGTCTCGTGTTGCATACTGAGGTGGCGTTGTCTGACCTTGATCCAACGATGTCTCGCGCTGTGTGGTCCAGGAGTTGAGGATTTCGGTAGATTGCGGTATTCTGTGGTTACTTTCAGGAAGCTGGTCTTTCTGATAAGAAAGTGCTTTGGAGTTCTCAGGCCCTGTTATGAACGCTGGCCAGATAAACGACAAAAGAGGGCCTATATCTCATTCGTCGTCAAATTGTGAAGGTTACAAAAGTTGTCAATCGATGTTGACTGTTTTATACTTATACAAATATTCGTTCTCTTTAATATGGAGCATTGAAGCCATTTTCATGTATGAATATCCTCGTGGACTGACTCGACCTATGTCATGCCAACCAAGGAATTGAGATGTGATAATCCATCCCTTTGGATTTGCGATGACGAAATTCCCGAGGGTGTGCTATAGAACTAACCCGGAAAACTCCTGTTAGACAACAGTCACTTTGGCAAAGATCTGCTATCAACTGAATCAGACGGCATCCGTCCACAGGTTTCTTAAACCACAAAATTTCTCAGCCTACACAGACCGCCTCCACTACGGGCGCAAAGTATCACCATCTTTATGAGTGATTGTCGACCAACTGAGCAGGTTTGCGCTCTGCACGTCTAGGTCCAATATACGCCCACGGACAGCTAGTGATAGGTGTCTGTTTGGATGTGTGTGTGCGCGCGTGCAAGTTGCCCCTAAAACTAATGACCTAATCGTTGGCCTTGTAACACAGCTGGAGCGCAATGTAAGTAGAACCATGTATGGTTTCACAGACGTTGGTTAAACGCCTCAGTTCCAGAATTTGCAATTGAGTTAGCGCTAGTTACGTCAGATCAAGCATGCGGCTGCACATGAGAATGGGAGTATAGCTCCATTTAAGGTATTTTTGGGGACTAGCTTTCCAAATGCGTTCCAATTTTTTTGTCCCAGTGGACTGACTCCAAAGAGAGATCACTTAAAAAGGTGACTTGTATGTTCCGGTATCAAATTTAGCTGCTCAGCCATTTGTGTGATTTCGAGAGCGCTATCCGAGGAAAGCACCGTAGTCTCGAGTTTAGCTCTGGTATTGGCTCAAGTGGTTATAGTGCGAATTCACTGACCGGAAGGTCCGCGGTTCGAACCCGACCTCTGCCTCTCGACTTCCCCTGTCTAGGCTTGGGCAACCTGTCAGTATCCCAGCCCTCATGCTTCCTTCGGGTGACATAGCAGCTAGGCAGCAAAAGGATGTTACAGCTGAATGATTATTTTATTTTTTTATCTCTGGCATTGATGGTATCCAATGGTAACCGTGGACCTCATCAGAAGTGTGCAAAAAATACGGCGTGGCTCCACGAGCTTTGGGACCATGTTCCATGACAACCAAAATATAGGATTTGTACGGAAATTTCGTTAGTCTGTTATCAAAGGCAGTTCACACCTCAAAAGAAATAATCATTCCATCTAGGATCACTTGGATCCTTCCCTATGAGTTGCCACTATACTTGCTACTTTCGTTGTCATCTATGCACCTATCCATACACGAAAAATACAGCTCTATACGAGGTATCTGGCTGATGGCGGTTTCAAGTGATTTTGAACAAATTGTCAAATATTCTGCTGTGTCGTGTTTGCCACCGGTCGACTCCATTCTGTGGCTGCATGTCTGAACCCTCCATTGTTCAACCAGGAAACGGTGCCCATGGGACTTCCCTACATGCAGAAATAACTTCTCGGCCTGTGCTGAGGAAGTAGGTCACTAAAAAGGCCAGTCGCATTCAGGTCAACAAATAGGTCACATCTAAGAATTTATCCTCCATTCAAAGAACGGAAATGCAGTTGCGAATCGATAGCCTAGATCTCATTGGATAAGAGTTGCTGTAAGAAGAGAGATCAACATGGAAAATAGCTGATGAATCTTCTGTTTCGCACTTCCTCCTAAAATCCAATTGATTTGAAAGCAAAAAGTACTAAAAGAAACGGCGCGGGCTTTGTAGATTTGTTGAAAATCGTCAGCTTGGCACATTTCTTCGTGGCTTAACAAGTTATCACATGAACTGACTGAGCAACAGTGCGGTCGGTTCGTCCCATTATGCAATATGCTGCTAGGCTCAATAATCACGCTGGTTCATGGAACGTGTCCATCATTTACCACGGGTTTCTTTGAACATACCCAGTCGACGAAGATATTACTTCATTTTATTCAAAGAAAGCACAGTTTCGGCACAAAGTGAGTGCCCCCCCCCACCAAGTGAGCCTAAACCACGCGAACTCCATTGTACTCTCCTATAAGCAGATGAGATAAAACGGCGCTAGTGAAAAACCAACCTCAGCAGATTCTTTTAGCGGGACACTAAAAATGAGCCTATATCTGACAAGAAAACACTGTCTTGTTCGGCATAAAACTCTAAATCCGGCAGAGTTGGGTTTTCGAAATCATTTGTAGCAACAAAAGGCAGGAGCTCGTGGGCTAGTCCTACTGAATGCTATTGATACGTCGATCTAACTCGAATTATTGACGTTTTATAGACAAGTAAGCATCTCCAAAGTATCCACAATTACTTGGTGTAGACACTAGCCACTTGAATTTCAGCCAGGTAAAAAAGCAGGATTTTACGCTATATGTAGCCACGGTCCCACGGAAACTCACAGTGGACAAGAAACTGAGATGGGCTCATGGATTACCAGGACCAAAAGAAAGGCCGAATAAGTTCACCTAAGGTAAACTTAAGGTTTCATATTGGCGTTTTCGTTGCCGGTTAACAATTCGTGTTCCAAACTCTTGAAAGACAAAGTTGAAGGACACCTTCGCCCATTTGAGGAGAGTTCGTTTTATTCTGTCGCCGTTTTCGTACAGCGGCGATGCGTAATTCTCGAACATCAGTGATGATGACCACCATTTATCATGTATAGTGCAAACATTTTCGGTCTTTATACTATGATTGTTCTCTGTGCATCTGCTCGCGTGCAATATTCCTTCAATTGATCGTTTATGTAGGCGGCGTCTCATGTGTCTGCTTGGTGCTTTAAGTGACCTTGACTAACAAAAACCCAGGAAGAAAGGTAGTGTGCTGATGAGGATGGTACCACAAGTTTTTTTGTCATTTGTAATGATGGGCTAGCTGGATCTCCTATATTGACAACGAGTACGACTAAGTACTGTATAGAAAGTAAACCACACTTCATGAAGGAAACTACTCACAAGGTTGCTGAAAACTCGTCGACCTTGTGAGTAGTTTTCTTTATGAAAATATACTGCGATATCTCGAATATCGTACCAACTGAAACATGAGGCGGCCTGTATGCAGCACATCCAGTTGTAGAATATCATGAACGAACGATTCATTCGAGTCTCTCGTGAAAACCAAATTGATTTGCAAATGGGCGTATTTCTCGTATAACACACTTCAGTTTCCTGTATCATCTTGATGGTATCCGGGAGGTAAAATCAAGGGGGTTGCGTTATACAGACCACACATGGCTTTAGCAACGGGTTGTTTTTTTCAAACCTAAAAATGACGGCCTCAAAGGCGAAAGTTTCTCATGTGGTTACTCAAAGTAGGCAGCTTATCATTTCGTTTTCCGCAGCCCTTCGGTTGTCGCTGTACTGTGAGTTAGAAATGTAGGAATAGTCATGCAGCAAATCCCGTGGCCAACAACTCAAAACGAGTGAGTTTACCGTCGTGCAGGGAGCCGCTTGCTTAGGACGTTTGTTAGAGATTGGATGGTAGACTTATGTTACTTAATTTTGACTTCAGTAGACAAAGAAATCTTACGCAAGTCCATTGGATGTGTGCTTGGTGCCCGCGTTTTGTGACAGAACGTAAGTTGAGCTTATTTCTGTCCCACAGGACGTAGCTGCATATGATAGGAGGTTTTGAGTCAGGTGTTAGGAATGGTCAGCAATGAAGGGTGCTCCTCGAAGGTATACGCAGCCAACGTTTGAACACTGTTATCGTTGGAACAGAAACGAATTAAGTATATATCGATTTCCACGTGTGGCAAACGTGAAGGACGTTAGAAATAGTGACGGTAGATGGAGATCTACAACTGATGGCTTCTGAGGTTAATGGTGCTAGAGAAACTGAGCAGCTGGCTGAAAGGACTATCCTGAATCGTCAACGTTTGGTGAGTGAGTATGAAGTCACCTCTCAGCCACAGGCTATATCTCTCAGGCCACCGAATGTAGTTTGTGGGATTCTGAGTGCCCGTTGCATGTAAATCTACAGGTCTGTCGGAGTAAGTTGGTGGGACGGCATTCTGCAGGCTTTGGAGAAGTAAAGCCGGATGTCACAAATCCATCGTCAAAGTCTCTCTTCCGTACATTCTTTTCAATAATCGTTTGGTTAGGCAGATCGCCAGTCTGGAATTCACTTTGCACAGGTAATAACAGACTGCAGTGTTTGCCCACAGCTGATCGGTTACGGCTAACTTCATAACTTTCGATAGGATGTGAATTAGAATGCTTGGCCTGTAATTTACACAGTCAGACTTTTTTCCACTGTTTGGGGATCCAAGAGGTATCACTTATCTTTTGATAATTAATGGTCACTGGTCCCACTAATTAATTCGAGGGAGAAGTAGACATGTTTAGATGTAACGCTGTCAAAGACGTAGTGGTATTTTTCGGGAGGGCAGTAAGTTTACATCCGACAACTTCTTAGGGAGATTACCACCACGGCACAACGCACGACACAGCCTCGCTCCACTGTGTCCCCTAAGAATGCACCGATGATGTAACCTCGATGATGATAGAGCGTTTGGAATCTAACTTCTAAGCTCAGAGGACAAACCAAAGAATATCTACGGAAAGTACGGTGTGGTTGAAGCTTTCCGCCGTGGGAATGCATTCATGTTTAGATGTCGCCACAACAGGTGATTTGGGAGAGATAGAGCTGTATTGCTTGGTCAATGCTCTGGTTATTTTCCTGAGTGCATACGCCAAATCGGTTCTGGACTGTATTACAGGAATATTGGGTTACATCCTTCCAAGGTGCTTGGCGTGCTTTAAATTTGCCTACAGGCGAAACCTGCCAGTTCTCCTTATTTTCTCCGGTAAGGGGGACGTGGTTGTTCTTGAGGCTTTTGTAGCCGCGCCCTAAGGCCTCGCCAGATATCTGTCGTCCCGTCTAGCGGGCTTTTTCTTATTCCCTCTTCTTAGGCATCTTTGTTGGTATGTTGAAACAAGCGATAATATGATTGAAGATGATGAATATGTAGGCATCATGATTTCATCCGTGGAGGTTTCCCAGGCAGGTTTCCTGTTGTATCGTGGCTGGCCGTCTATTGGTTACGCCTGCACTGAACCTGCCAGACTACGCGATAAGGAGAAGGCTGAGAACTCGGGACACGGCTGTATTGTCAGGACAAAACATACAGAGCTTCTGCGTAAATATATAGGATGACTAAATGGCTAAATATAGTCGTCAACTTGTTCTTTCTGTACACCCAATGGCGGTGTTCCGGTCGTGAGCTATTTCAGTCCCACTACACTGGTCTTATGTTGTTGAGCCGTGTTTGGTGAGCTTCGCCAACCCACCTGCTTTCCGAACGTGTCGTACCGATGGTGGCCTTGGATATACGTCACTCTCTGCACTTGTACTTTTTACATGTCTGGGCGCATCCTGACATTTCCCGATCAGTCGTTCTTGCTAAACCCTGCAGAGTAGTAGTTGGGTACGGAATGTAGGAGAGCTACATCTTTCTACATCAGTTACAGCCGAGAATGATGATTAGATGATCATTGCGCCTCAAGAGTGATGTGTAGTTGATAGCCGTGACCAGTAAGTGTTTGTTTGCCAGAATGAGACTGAGGAGTAAAAGGAAATGTCCCTGAAGGGCACCGCGTGCATGCGCACAAGAGATGTTAAAGTTCCTCTTGGGAATTTGCAAATGATAGGAACATGTCGATTAGGAGAAACTTTGATTTAGTTCCCATCTGAGAAGCAGGAACTATTAGAGGGACGCTAAATAACTAAAATCAAACAGCACTGTATCTATTAAATGAAAGGTTGCAGAACAACGTATCTTTAGCCAGAAGAATTTCAAACTTTTGGAAGGGTCTTTTTGGAGGTCCTTTTGGAGGGGTCTGCACCTGAGCTTCTCAGCCGTCTTGCCTGTTTCTTGAAAGAACTTGGAGGGGCTACTAGGTGCAGAGTATGTACACTGGGTTTCTGTTATAGTGACTAGATTCCGGCGGGTTTGCTGCTGGTGGCTGAAAAGTTCAGC